TTAATATCACAATTATATTTAAGTTATTTATAAATTACTTATCAAAACTATATTTAACAATAAATTATTATAAAAACTATAAATAAATTTCCAAAAAATATTTAATAAACAAAACACTAAATTGTAATCAAATTTATTACTCAACACTTAAAACATTATTAAGATTATCGCACAAAGACTTAACCATTGAATAAAATTTGTTGATTTTCTCAAAGTTTTGTCTCATCTTTTGATTCGCGACTTCTGTGATGTACTTCACGTAGTCTTCGGTGACAATCAGCTCTTTATCGCAAATGATGGGCACTTCCAGTGAGTGACAGCTCCTGACGGCGACTATAATGCGATCGCTTTTACTGATAGTGAGTCCAGAGTTACGGAAACCGCAACCGATGGCCACTTCCAGCAGTCGTTTGGCTGCAGACAAGCCATCGGCGCAGACATGCAATACAAACGGTTCCACTTTGAAGGACGCATACAGTGGCCGATCGCCACCACTCCTGATGGCCGACATCACCTCATCTGAATCCACCACATCGTGCGATATGAACAGCCATTTGCTGACAGACTTCTTCAGATGACAGCCGCTATTATCTGCCATAACAGTGATTCTTCCGGAGCACGAACTGGTGGTGTAATAAGCGCCACAAGAGTTCAACGCAGATATCAAGTCCACAATTGGCTCATCAATGGATCCCTTAAGACTGAGATCTTGTTTGGCGTTCAGTCGTCGCGTCTTCTCCGTCTGGAAGTGATTCAAGTGATTCTTCTGCACTCTTTTGCCAGACATTGGACTCAAGAAGCGATGAATTTGTGGCAAAACTTTTTCGTCAAATCAAATGAAAACACAATTTGTGCTGAATTTCTACGAAAGACGAGAAAAGCCTTCAATTCATGCATTCATTGAGTCTTTCAGTCATTTGTTTACGACTTCGCTATTGGTTTGCGTTTTGTCTCAAGTTTTTAAACATTCATTAGTTTTAATCATTTTATTAATTCATTTCAAATTTAATTCAAAACCAATTGTCAACACATTGTCCACCAAACGGATCCCAATGTCTGTCACACTTCACACCGATTTGGGAGATTAATTCAATCTCAATAAGACGCTCTTCACAGGCTTCTCAACGCTTCAGACAGGTGATAAAGGTGGTAAGTAAACTAACAGATAATTAATGCTACAGAAACTGATGGCCACGTCTTGAAGGACCGGAAATGTGCGTCCGACTACTACAAAGGATGTCTCATTCACCGCAATATCAAAGGCTTTATGGTTCAGACGGGAGACCCCACGGGCACCGGGAAGGGCGGCGCCTCCATATGGGGCGACAAGTTTGACGACGAGATCCACTCAGACCTCAGACATACCGACAGAGGCCTCGTCTCGATGGCCAACAACGGGCCCAACACTAATGGATCCCAATTCTTCATCACATACTCCAAGCAAACACATCTGGACCTCAAGTACACTATCTTCGGAAAGTATGACCACAACCTCCACATGTCATCGATTACTGGTTTACCATTTGCTTGATATTTGACAGAGTCATCGATGGTATGGACACATTGGATGAGTTGGAGAAACTGGCGGTCAATCCGAAGAACTTTAGGCCACTTAATGACACCCGTCTTAATGATGTGACCATTCACGCCAACCCTATCGCCAAATAGGTGTCACTTTCCCGACAACATAGCCATCAATCAAT